ATAGTCGCTGCCCGGCGACCGACGAGCGGCTTCTGCTCCGGAGCTGCGGTCAGCGCCGTCGGCGTGACGGTCTCTGTCCAGAGACGCCAGTGTGCGTGAGTGTGGCCTCATCACCGCCGTGTGTTGACAGTACGCCGTGACACTGCTCACTGTGTGCTGCTTGCTGCTCTGCGCCGAGAGAGACGCGACGCGCTTACTGCTGTGTATCTTCGTGGAAAGCGAGCGTGATTTTGCGACTGCGCGAAGGCGCCACGGGCGATCCGTCAATGTCATCCGGGTATGTCGCGGATCGTCAATAACACCGTACACAGCCGTACACCGTACATGTCAAGGGCGAGAGACGCGCTCGTGTTGAGGCGCAGTGAAACCACCCCCTTCCCAACCGTCTCAGGGACGGACGCATTTGCCCCCTTTCAAAGGCGGTTTCGAAGTTGATGAGACCTCGTCCCCCCCAAACCAATGAAAAGCGTAAAAAGAGGCGCGGAACAGGCCGGAAGCGCCGCTTGGACGTGGGTCACACAATGGCAGCGCTCCAGACGCGCTCTGGTAGCTGCCAATGAAGCTGCAGCCCATCGCGCACGCGCCGGACGGCCGCTGCACCTCCACTGCAGTGCCCTCCTGCACCGAGCGACGCGTCAAACCTTTCTTGCTGCCCATGACCGCCGGCGGCTCCGAGCTCGGGCGAGCGAGCCCTGGCTGAGCTGAGCCACTGCGGTCGCAATTGCAGCGCTGCGGTCGGTGCAGAGTGGCCGTGCGCGTACGGCGTCGTACGCGCACGGCCGCTCTGCCTCAGTGGCGTGCGGCTTGGGCCAACTGGAGGTCGCTCTCCGACCTCGCTCGCCGAGCTCACAACCCGGCGCGAGCCGCATTGAGTGGAAGTTCGACTTCAGCTGCCGCGAGTGGATGGACTGCCTTGTCGAGTGCGAGCAGTTGGGCTCCGCCGGAAGCACGAGGTGCAACACGTTCTCTGGGCGCCAGCAGACGCGAGCGCGCGAGCGCGTGTTGAACCGGACGCTCCAGAGCAACACTCAAGAGATACACTCGAAGGGGGGCGCACGTTTTTTTATTCGGGTTTCGTGGGTTATAGTGCACTATGGACGACGAAACCGAAGACGGTTGGCCCCGGGGTGGTTTCACTGCGGTGGGTGAAGCGCCGCGCCAGGTGCGTCACAGGCACACACCCCAACACACACGTACACGTGTCGTACGACGAAGCATTCATGCTACTATGCAAGCGCCCGTCTCAACTTTCATGATGATGCGACTTGCGCAGGACAACTCGATCATGGACAACATCGACTACAAAGCGAAGGTCGGCTTCGTGCCGGCTGGCGACGGCGGCCGAGTCACAATCGTCCTCTCGTTTGCGTCGGAATCCCCTCCGCTCCTCGGAGCCGAGGTGCCTGTCTATGCGCGTGTTCATCCTATCAGCGCGATCTTCCCGTCCCAGCTGTCGGTCGGGGGTGATGGTCGGCGTCGGCGCGCGCCGCCCAACGCGGCGGCGGTGGGCGTCATGTGGCGGGCGTCGGACTAGCCCGCCGCCTTAATGTGCTTGAGCAAGTAGCCCGCCTGCAAATGCAGCGTTTGTCAGTCGTCCTCCACACCGCTGTGGCGTGGCAGACGGTGAACGAGCTAGCGTGCGGGGAGAGCGCATTGTGCATGGTGCGTTGCGTGAATTCTTTCCCTGTGTGTTAGTGCCAGTGCGAGCCAGTCCCGTGCCCAGTCCTGTGCCCAGTGTCGTGCGAGGGAGTTTTGTTGTAAAATTCTTTCCCTGCTCGCGGTGCAAGGAGAAGCAGCCCCTGGGCACGAGCGACTTACACGTATGCAGACTCGTGACGAGGCGGTCGGGCAGCGCGTCCGAGCCGCTGGCGTTCTCCTCCTCCTCCTCCTGGCTGCGTTTGCTGTATTTTACGCCGGCATTGGCGGACTCAGCGTCTCTCTCATCGCTTCCCGCTTTTCTGAGGCGACGGACACTCAGCCGATCGAGGAGTACTCCCTCACCGACCGCCGTCATGCTCCGCTTCCGAAGGGATGCCATCCGGTGCCGTGGTGGATGCAGACTCGGATCGATAAAGCAGTCAACGAGGCCATGGCGAAGCAGGTCCCTTCGCCGCCGTCACCCAACCGGGTGCGGCTGCCGGGTAAGATCCCGGTGCCGGGGCTGGAGCTGGTGCAGTTCGGCGCGATCACCACGCGCAAGAGCACGGAGGCGGTCGAGGTTGGCGCGTGCTGGGACGACGACGCGTCTCGCTGGCTCCAGATGTGGCCCGACCGGCTCACGATACGGTTGTACGCGATGCAGATCGGGCTCACCTCCTTAGAAGCGGAAGACGTTTCCGCTGTATTCGTGCCCCTCATATCCACACGCTGCTCTGACTGCTCTGCGCGATACCGTACTCCCACCCTTGAGGTTGGCGTGTTCAGCACGTAGGCTCACCTTTGCGTACGACCTGATGGAGTACAGCGCGCGGGTGGGCGGCGGCGAGGGAGAGATGGAGGCGTTCGGCTACCTCTTCCTCGACGTCGACCTCCACGGCCTCACGTCGAACCACACGCTCGCAGACTGCGACGGCCGCTTCTCCGTGACCGAGGTGACACTCTCTGGCGTCATCCGAAACCACAAGGAGGGCGGCGAGTGGAGCGACGCGCTCGCATTGCTCACTTGCCACGGCCCGCCGCCTGCGGACTGGCGTGGCTCCTTCCCGCGCCCGCGTGGCATGCTCCACGACGTCAACGAGAGGCTTGGCAGGGAGCTGCCCGCCCTGCAGGACAGAGTGCGCAAGGCGCGCGCGCTATGCGTCCTCCTCTGCGTGCTGGTGCTGCTCGGGGCCTCGCTCGCCTGGGGGGCTGTGAACAGCGTCTCTTCACACCTCTCGCTGTGAACAGGTGCTGCTTGGCGCAGCCTTGCTGCACCTCTCTTGCACGCGCGTCGACTTCGACGGGCGCGAGCCGGGCAAGACCAGCCTTCGCGTCGTCCTCCAACGGTGGCTCACACCGCTCACCCACGCGCACCGGGCCGTGCACTTTGAATGCCGTGCCGGCTCCTGCCTCCTCGAGCGTGGAGTCGCGAGGGGCTAGCCTGGCCCTTGCCCCCCCACCTCGTGTGTGCGGAGAAGTTCACCGTACCTGCCCGCACCTTAGGTGGCAGGGTCGCACGCGCGGGCGACTCCTCGCCGCCCTCTGCTGGCTCGACTGCACGATGCTCGCGCTGCTGGCGCTGCTGCTCTGCACCGCCGTCGTGCTCGCGTCGCGTCGCGCCTTTGAGCAGCCGCAGATCGCGCCGCCGCCGCCGCCCTACACGTGCGATTGCTCGTGGACGGAGACATACAGCTGCCCCGGCACGGCCTCGCCGCCGCCGCCGCCGCCGCCCGCGGCCTTCCGTTTCTCGCTCGACGAGGCGACGTGGCGCGACGCTTTCGGCGATGTGTCTGACCTCTTCCACCCGCACGCTACGCCGGACCACAGCCATTGCTTCGCCTTTTGCTGCCCGGGCGGTGCGCACACGCGCGGCTTTTGGAGCCTCGTCCCGAAGTCCTTCCGGACCGGGCTTCTGTTTGGAGGCGAGGGCGCCTGACGGATCGGGCGCGCCAGCCTGCGCCCACGCGGCCTTTGCCCACTCTCTCGACGATTGATCGAGACACCTTCTCCCCTCTCCAGACTTCGTTGCCATACTTGGAAATTAATGTTTCGGCAAACCCCACCTCCTGATCTCGGCTGATCTCCGCCCCATCTCGGCTCATCTCGTGCGTCGTGGTCGTGCAGGCTGCACACTGGTTGGGTAGTAGTCTAAGTTCTGAGCCTCGAGGCTGAACGGGTCTAAGTGTGGCTAGCCACGCTGGAGTGCTTGCGCGGTCTAAGATCAGCGGGAGCCTCTTACATCGGCTAAGTCGGCCGTGGCACGGCCTGGGGCCAGGAGGCTCCTCCACCGTGATCAACGATACGGCGCAGCCCCCAAATTTTCTTCGCCTGCGGCGGGCTATCGATCCTCTTCATGCTTAGCAATCGCCGCCTCAGCATCCTCCTCTTCCGACTTTCGTTGCTGCTCCTTCATTCTTGAGCGACGTCTAGCCAAACAGTTCTCACATGACACGAAGCTCCTCAAGCTTAATCAAACGTGTGACGGTGAAGGCGTGAAGCCTGTGTGTGCTGGTCCTCTTTGAACGATCCGCGCGTGAGGTAGCATAGGGCCTTGTTGGCAGCAGCCAGCTTGTTGCGCTGCTTCGTTGCGATGAGCTGATTGGGATCGCAGAAGTGCATGCCAAGCACCGCCACGATCTTGAAGCAGAACACATCGCAACCGCATCGTCCGCACTGCCATCGGCATGCCGCGCCCGCCGCTTCGCCGCAGCCGCCTTAAGGCACGCATTAGCGGCAGCACCACATGGTACGGTGCGCGTACTTGAGCAGGCGTTGCGCGCCGTGAGTAGCGCACTGGCCCTGGGAGAAGGCGATATGGCGTCGTGCGCGGCATACGTTGGTCGGACGCGTCCAGGTATTTCGGGTAAACCTGGAGGCTTTTCAGGTATACCCGGGTTTTGCCCGGAGTGGCCTTATGTCGTCTAAGTTCATGGCCCCCGACCATACAGCGTCTAAGTCTGAGCCCGGCTCGGTGCGGGGGCTAAGTTGAGCGCTCGCTCGCTGCAGAGGCTAAGTGTAGAGCGACCCTCTAGCCCTACTACCCAACCATTGGCTGCACCTGCTTGCACCTGCACGCTGCAGGGAGCCTCGGCCCTCGCCGCGCTCCGGCGAAGAAGGAAGATTTTTTGCAGCGATGTCACATGTCAGAAAAAAAATGCTTTTACCTGCGAAAGGCGCTACTCTCCCCCTCCCGTCGCTTGTCCCCCTTGGTGGCGCGCCTCTCCCGTCTCCCCCCCCAGCTCTCGGTAAAGCCGTATCGCGTAAAGCCGTACTGCACGAGGCTACTGTACCGCCGTGGGGGCCGGCCCCGCCTACGGCTTTATCCCGTATCCGTGTGCGCACACCGCGCCAAGCCCCGGGGGTCAGCCGCGCTTCTCTAGTCGTTTCGACCTTCCGCGTAGCGAAAGGGGCGGAGTCCGGCGAAGGCGTTGCGTGTCAAAACAGAGGTTAAGTTCGGCAGAGGCCCAGAGCTACCTAGATCTGTCATCTGACCAGCCGCCGGCGTGAGGAGAGGGGGCACACACAAAAAGAGTTTGAGACACAACACAAAGCGACACAACGGCCACTGCGGTTCGTGTGCTTACGTCGCCGGCTTGCACGTCGATGGCTCGCGCCCCACCTCGCTACCTCTTCTTGGACTTTGGCCTCGCCTTGTACTTGGCCCAGCACTCGCCGTGAACCTTGCCCCCGTCCGCCTCGTAGTATCTTCCGTCGAACTTGCCCTGCACCTTGGCGACTGGCTCGCCGCAGTGAAGGCACCTTGGCGCCGCGGCGACTTGATACGCCGCGTAGCACTCGCCGTGCACCTTCCCCTTGCCCTCCACCTCCATGAACCGCCCGTCAAACTTGCCCTCCACCTTGCACACCGGCGCGCCGCAGTGTATGCACTTGGGGGCGCTCGCCTGCTTGAAGGCGGCGTAGCACTCCGCGTGGCACTTGCCGCCTTCGACGAGGTTGTAGGGTAAGGGTTAGGGGGAGGGGGAGGCTTAGGGTATTGGTGGCACTGCGGCGCGCCCTCGACGTTGTAGAACTTGCCCGAGAACTTCCCCTCGACCTTGCTCACGGGCGCACCGCAGTGGACGCAGCCCTCGGCGCTCGACTGCTGGAACGCCTTGCTGCACTCGCTGTGCACGTACTTTGCGTTCAGCCCGCTGCCAAATGCGACCCACGGCAGCTTGACCAGCTTGCCGCACTGTGGACAGTTTGGCCGCGGCTCGGTCGGCACCGGGATCAGCTTTGACGGCCCGAGCGTGCAGATCTGCATATGGTACGTCTTTGGCTCGGCGATGCTCGGGCCGCTGCCGCCGGCACCGTTCTCGCCCATCAGGGCTGGCACGATGACGGCGCCGCCCCCTCGCGTGGTCGCCTGCGCAGCAAGTGTCCGAGAAGGGTCGCGGCGAGGGCCGTGAGATGAGGGCGCGCCACGTACCCTAGTCGAGCGGCGAGGGGCGGCTAGCACGGTGGCGAGGTCGAAAGCGGTGAGGGGCGCGGCGGGAAGGATGGCGGGGCGGGCGGGCGGGCGGGTGGGGGGTGGGGGCGAGGGGTGCCTCGACGGCGGAAAAGCGGCCGAGGCGGAAGACGGGCTCCTGCAGGCGCTCCCCGAACTTGAGCACGCGCTTTCCGACCGCCTCCGACGGCGGGCCCTCCATCAGCATCGGCGCAATGGCGAGCGAGACCTTGTGGTCTCGCGTGCCTCGCGCCGTCTGCAGACAAACCACCATGCGGGACCCTGCGGCCACCTGTGAGCGCGTGGCCCGGCTGAGGGAAGGGGCGGTGGTGGCGGCGGGGGAAGCGGGGGGGGGGGGGGGGGGGCTTGCAGGGTCGGTGCGTTGCGCCTGCAGGTGGTACTGCGGGAACAGATGCCACTGGCCCGTCTCGGTGCTCTCGGGTTGCCACTCCCCCACCACGGCGTGCACCGTCCACTCGGGCAGCAGCTCGAGGTGTCGGCAGCACTCGAGGCGGTGGAAGTTGGCTTGCCAGTCGGCGACGGTCATCCACCACGTCCCGTCCGACACTTGCTGCCCCGTGCCGACGTTCCTTCCGAGCAGACGCTGCGACTCGGGCGCGACGCGTGTCCAGGACGAGTCGGCGTCGGACCAGGCGCCGTCCCACTCTAGACCTCGCCCCCACGGGTTGCGCACCTGCACCAGCTTCGCCGACTTGCCACCGACGAGCCTCACCTCGAGCGCGCGCAGGATGCCATACGCGTGGTTCGGGATGATGCCACGCCGGATGGCGTCAGCCTGGCGCGAGCAGCAAACTACCGCACCCTCGTCGAGCAGTGAGTTCAGCAGCGTCCACGCCTCCTCGGCCGCACCAGAGCCCTTGAACCGCGGCTCCGCTTGTTCGCCTCCAATGCCGATGCGCGAGGGGAGGCCGCCGGTCAGGTCCTGGAGCGCCTCGGCCTCGGAGCCGCCGATAATCGCGCTGAAGGACCCGTAGAGCTTTGCGTACGCCTTCTCCGCCAGCATGACCCAGATCTCGACAGTGCCACTCTTGACGGCAGAGCGGGCAAACGCCTGCCAGAGGGGCGACGGCGGACAGCGGCGGGGTCAGAGCGCAAGGGAGAGAGCCTAGGAGAGCGCGGGGCGGGTGGCTGCAGCCGCAGAAAGGGCGCAGAGGTGGCAGGGGCTTCGCTGGCGTGGAGAGCGACTGTTGCGTGGAAATCGGGCGGACGCGGGCGGGCGGCGGTGCGAGCGCCGGCTGGCCCTTTGCGTCGCACGGCAGGAAGTCGTCGATCACGACCGTGCGCCACTCTCCGCCGCGGCAGACGCGCACCTGCGCACCCACGGGCGTCGGCGTCCGCATGGCACAGGGCTGCGCTCGCTCGCGCGGCAGACGCGACGGGCGCACCGCGTACAGCCCCTCGCCAGTGTACTGCTGCTCCGACTCGGGGTGGTCACCATCCTTGTCGAGGATGAGGTCCTGCATGAGGAGACGAGGACGTGTCTTGCTCAAACTGACAAGCTGACCTCGGGAAATGGGAACGCGCTATTATGTGTCTCGTGTCGCTCTGTGTGGCCGTCTCCTCTTCTCGCTTGCGTCCCACCCGGTATCCAGTCCAGTCGCTGCCCTGATTGTTCTTCACCTCTCTACCCACCTGCCTTCCTGGGTCTACGAGGACTCAGGCTGCCGGCGCCATCCACCCTCCGCTTTGGACTGTAGCGGGGTGGTGGCGCCTCGCACCCCCACGTAGAGGGCCATGTCTAGCATAGTTGTTGCATAGCATAAGTGCGGTCCTGCGGCAGGTCGGGGAAGACGTCGAGGATGCGCTCCTCGCGAATGCCCAGCGTCGAGAGCGCGCCCAGCAGGTAGCAGTCGCCCAGCTCGCCCTGCTCGACATCTGCCGGGTCGACGAACGTGCCGTCCTCGCCGCGCTGGAAGAGCGCGATGTGGTAGGCCGCAAAGTGGATGGCGCACCGGCAGGTGACCCTGGGGACGTAGCCCGGCCTCCGGTCCCAACTCGGCCGCACCTCGATCTTCTCGATGTCGCAGCCGCCGTGCTTGGCGCGCGTCTGGGACGCCCACTTTTGCAGCCACTCACCCATCCCCTCTGTGGCGGCGAGCTCGGCCGTGGGAAGGCTCGGCCTGGGGAGCTGCCGCGCCTGGCCGCTCGAGACGAGGCTCATGCGGCGTTCAGGCTTCGATGGCGCCACCGCCTCGCCGGTCACGGCCTGCATGACGATTCGCGTCACGTGCCCCTTGAACTCGTCCGCCTCGTCGGCCGGCTCGCCCTTGGAGCCCTCAAAGCCGCGCTGGCTCAGGTTGGGATCGCCGCCGCACAGCTTGCGCTCGTCATCGTCGTAGAAGGCGAGCTCGACGTACTCGGTTGTCGGACCAAAAATGTCGGACACACGCCGCCACGAGCTCACTTTTCCCGCCCGAAGGACGTCTTCGCCAAGAGAGGCGTCGTCGGCAGGGAAGTCGTGATCGGTGAATTGGCCGCCCTTCTTTCGCTGCCAGCGAAGCAGCTCGATCCAGTCGCCCTCGTCGTTGGACTGTGTCGGCATCTCGAAAGGGAGCCGGGCGACGGAAGAAGAGCTTGAGCTTCAATCGCACAAGCAAGCCGCCGAACCGAGCGAGGAAGGGAACGGTTGGAGCCTGTTCACGCGCGCAGACAGGGTTGCCAGGTGAGAGCGAATGGCGCGGTTCACGCCTCGCACACCAGAGAGAGAGAGATGCGCTCTGCGTGGTGGGACATATTTGTTCTTGTATGTGCGTGTGGGGTGTGTTTGTGCGGGGCGGCCCCCAAGGGCGGGGGCGCGCAGGGCAAAGGCTCGACGGTCACCGGCTCGTCGAGGTCGGATGTTAAAAATGAACTCGGGGGCACGGGGCGCGGCACAAACCAGGCACAAACGGGAGGAGACAGAAATCTCTCTCTTGCTCTCTCTCTCAAACGGGGCACAAACAAACGCCAGGCTACAAACACGGGGAGGCACGTTACTCGTATCTCGTTAGTGACGCAAGGGAGTCTAGGCGACGGTGGCGTCCTCCGACGCCGCGGCGAGCCTGAGCTCGGTCGCAACTTCATCCGCCGCCGCGCGAGCTGGAGCGACTGACATGCGCTGGTCTGCAGCGACAGCCACGACCGCGTCGACCCGTGGTAGTGTGGATCCAACCAATCGCATGCGTACCGGCCACTGTACGTACAGCCTGTAGCGCGACGATATGCCCAGTAAGATTTTCGGACCGACTAAGATATCGCATGTTCGATGTTGCGCGAGACAGAGACAACAACAAAACAAAGAGCCAACGAGCCTCGCAAGACGGGAGTATAGGGTCAGAAGCTCTAAGAACAAGGTACGGTCCTCGTACAGCCCTGTGGCCTGGCGACGCGGCCGAGATCTGCATGCAGATAAAGCGCGCCTCCGGCCGGCGGCCCGCCGCGCGCTGCAGCGTCTCATAGGCTGTCACGCCGCTGCCGCCCTGCCCGCGCATGCGGCAACAGCCAAACGCCAACACGGTCTCAGACCATCGGTGCACCCGCCGGCTCGGGGGCGCCTGGCAAGCACTTGCGCACGGCCTCCACCAAGCTCGCCCACAGGACGCCCACGCCCGGCAGGCACGCGCTGCCGGGGCCATCGACGGCCATGACCTGCGTCCACGTCTTGCCCGGGTTGTTGACGATGCCAGGCGCGTTGGCATTGGCAATCATCTCGCCGTAGCTCGGCTGCAGCTCCGCACCATCCTCGTCGATGATGCGGGTGAGCGTGTACGAGTACCTGAGCTGCCCGAACGAGTACACGAGCCGCTCCCACCGGTCGCCGCGCTCGTCGAGTCGACGAAAGGTGAAGCGCACCAAGAGTGTCGGCAGCGGAATGCAGCCGAAGAAGTAGAGCGGCATCTCGGCGTGCTCCCAGTTCTCGTCGAAGCGGAAGGTGATCGAGCATCGGCCGATGTCGCTCATCGCCATCCTGAATCCCCAGCCGGCGTAATCGTGGCACCACGGCCAGACGCGCGGCCCGTAGCACGGCAGGTAGACCTCGCGCTTCTCCGCGTCGCATTCGCAACCTTCAAAGCAAATGAGAAGCTCCGGTGCCTGATTATCGTTGAACCAAAACACGCCGCGCATCGAGCTCGGCAGGTGCTCAGACCTGCCGGCGACATTCCAGTAGTCGTACAGCGCCTCTTTGGCCTTGTCGGGGCTGAAGATAATTGGTTGCATGCACGGTCGTTGCCGCCCCCCCCTCCCCCCCGATGCTTTTCCGCTTTGTGTATCTCGAGACCTCGACAGAAGGCCGAGGGCCCAAGTCAAGAATTGGCTTTCTTTTGGCGGGCAAGCGATGATTTATTTTTTCGGTGAGGTTAAAAATTTTCTTTTTCTCGCGATGTCCACCCCTCCGCGCCGCTCGCGCCGCTCGCGCCGACTCGCCGCCGCCGCCTCCTCCACTCCCTCGCCCGACACGCCGCCGCCCGCCCGCCTCCTCGACCTCCCCAGGGAGCTCCTCGTCCGCGCCCTCTCTCACTGCAGCCCCGGCGACATCGCTCGCTTCGCGGCCGTCTCGCTGCTCTTCCACGCCTCGCTTGCGGTGGAGGGCATCCGCTTGTGGGCGCAAGAGCGCGGCTTCGAGCTGCCGGCGCAGCCAGAGGGCGAGAGCTGCACCGTGCGGTGGCTGTGCTATTCGGCGCTGCTGTGCGAGTCCAACCCGCCGGCGAGGGCGGCGGCAGGCGAACGGCACAGCCTCTTCATTGACGGCGAGGGGCGGCTCTCTTCGTGTGGCTCAACGGAAGAGGACTTCCCAGCCGCCCTCGGTCAGGGCGAGGGCGTGACACAGCTCCGCACGCCGACCCGTTTCCCGTCGACGCTGGGCGGCGAGCGCGCCGTGAGCGTGTCAGCTGGAGATATGCACAGCCTGGCCCTCACCGCCGACGGCGCCGTCTGGAGCTGGGGCGAACTTGTCCTGTTGGGCCACAGCGACGAGCAGCAAGATGGGCTGCTGCCGAAGAAGGTCGAAGCCTTTGCTGGCCAGCGCGTCGTCGCGGTGTCGGCAGCAACTGGCCACAGCCTCGCCCTCGCCGCCGACGGCACCGCCTGGAGCTGGGGCCTTGGCGATTGTGGCCAGTTGGGCCACGGCGACCAGCAGGAGCAGCGGCTGCCCGAGAAGATCGAGGCCTTCGTTGGCAAGCGCGTCGTCGCAATTTCGGCTGGGGGCAGCCACAGCCTCGCCCTCACTGCCGATGGCGTCCTTTGGAGCTGGGGCCATGGAGGCGACGGCCAGTTGGGCCACGGCGACCAGCAGAGCCAGCTGCTGCCGAAGAAGGTCGAGACCTTCGTTGGCCAGCGTGTCCTCGCTGTTTCGGCTGGAACCTTACATAGCTTCGCCATCACCGCCGACGGCGCCGTCTGGAGTTGGGGCTTGGGAGGCTTTGGCAAGTTGGGCCACGGCGACCAACAGGATCTGCTGCTGCCCAAGAAGGTCGAGGCCTTGGCTGGCCAGCGCGTCATCGCTGTGTCGGCTGGACTCGGCCACAGCCTCGCCCTCACCGCCGACGGCGCCCTCTGGAGCTGGGGCAATGGAGCCTATGGCAAGCTGGGCCACGGCGACACGCAGAACCAGCTGCTGCCGAGGAAGGTCGAGGCCTTTGCTGACCAGCGCGTCGTCGCCGTGTCGGCAGGAGACTATGCCCACAGCCTCGCCATCACCGCCGACGGCGCTATCTGGAGCTGGGGCCAGGGCGGAAGCGGCTGCCTAGGCCACGGCGATCTGTCGGACCAAATGTTGCCCAAGAAGATTGCGGCGTGGGCGTGACTGATCTCGCACGTGTCGCTGTGGGAAAGATGATTGATCCGGCTCTGACCTCTGTCTTATGCGCTCGACCTCGCGGCGCTACGATGGCATGCTTCTTTCTCGGGCGCACCGTAAGGTTTTTGTAACTGACAAAGCGGTAGCGGCACCTGTAGTCGTAGGCGACCGGACTTATATCTCCTCGAACGAGAAAGAAGGGCCGAGTCCCGAGAGATATACGGCTCTTATCCCGCGTTCACTTAGAGAAAGTTTGCTAGGGACACTGTGCGAGCCCGCAGTGTGCCCCCAGCCCTTTCCACGGGTCCCTGTCGCGGTCTGTGATTATGCCTGGGTGTGCGGCAGCCCTGGCAAGCTCGACGAGCTGTTGCATCCACCCACTTTTGCATCGGCAGCACTCCTCGCCGATGACCCAGCCGAGTGAGCGTTGACGGCGGGTTGGAAGTTGGATGCTTGACACAGCAGGCCGCTGCGATGAATTATGAGTGTCGCCTATTGCCCTGGCAACGGTGGGTACAGGGATTATTAACGGCTCGCTCGACGGTGGCTGCCACACCGGCCACAGCTCCAGGCAGTGGCGTTGCGCAGCATTGTGCTTCTGGTTTGCGGCTGCTGAGCTGTGTCCTCGGCCTCCCTGGCGAATTGTGGTGCTACGTGGCTTACTCTCCCCGGCAAAACGAGAGCGGCTGCAGGCGCAACCTTCCCATCGTGTCCTCTTGCTCAGAATGGTGGGTCTCCGGCTTTGTGCTGGCTGCGCTGGCCGGCTGACGGACCTCGGCTCAACCCGTACCGCCATGGCGGCTGTGGCGCGCCTGGCGGCGGCCACGGCTGCGGTTGTGTGCTGAATCTGAGCCTTCCATTCTACACCCGCACTGCATATCGGCTGGCACCTGCCACTCGTGGTCTGCAACTGTGTGACGTGCGTCTGCTGGCTCATCCCGGCGGCGTTGCTGGGCAAGCTGAAGCGGCGCGCGAAGAACGACGGTGGCATTCTTCGCATGTCCCAGATCTTGCTAGGCGCGTCCCTCTGCGACTTGGGCGTCTGGCTAGCCAAGCAGGAGCTGGGCGATGCAGATGAGCGGGCTCGCTCGAACCTCGCGCCTCACTGGATGTCGCGCAAGCTGCAGCGGCGTGCTCGGCCTCTGCCTGGGCTGTTTCCTGTCTCCCACCACGATCAAGAACTTCAAGACGGAGTTGAACAAGCGTGAGCGGCTGCGGCTTTGCCTCCCTCCTGGTGGCAGGAGCAACTGCGCCGGCTGCATGCGGCAGTGTGAGGAGGTGCCCGGCTCTCTGAAGGAGACGCCAGGCGGACACGCACAACGGTGGCTGCCCGGCGGCGCGCGAGTCCCTCAGCCGGCCTTGGGCTGCGTCGCGTGCAAGGTCAATCTCTGTGTGAAGTGCAGGAAGCCTGTGGCAGAGGGAGGCTGGGACCATGTCGGCTATTGTGACAGCATGCTCCCTCCGGTCTCTGGATGATTGTGTGTCCGCGCAGCCCGAGAGAGCTGTCAGAGGGGCTGGCCCGGAGCCTTCTCGTGTCGGGCGGGTGGCTTCTTCTTGAGCCACCTTACCTCTGTGTGAACTCAACAGCATCAAATTACACAGACCAATGCTCCCCAGTAGCCCCAGATGCCTCGGGGTGCTCTGAAACACTTGCGGTGGAAGGGAGGGTGAGGCGTCGAGGCAAGCTCGTGGGGGCCTCCCCGTGGGTATTTAACCCTTGGTGACGGCGGCCTCCATGGGCCACCCTATCGCTCTGTGTTTGCACCAGCAGCCAGGCCAACACCCTCATACCCACTAGGGTGGTCCTGAACACTCTAGGGGAGCGCTAGAACACTTGGCGCCAGAGGGAGGGTGAGGGAGGGTTAAGTGAACGAGGGAGGGTTAAGATAAAAAGTAACTAGTAAGCACACTCAGCTCACATTCACAACTGACCCCCACACGCCGCGCCCCCGGGCTCTTACAGTACACAGACACTTGTCGTGCAGCTCCTATCATTTGCTGCAGCCGCACTCGCGCACATCGGCGGCTTGGCAATGCGGCCGCGGGCGGAGGTGCGGGCCCCACGACCACCTCGTCCTCGATTGTGAGGTCTGCCAGGTGCCAGCAGGCCAGCACTTGGTTGGGCGGTGCGAGAATCGTCAATCGAAATATTCTCTCCGCAACTCCGGCGGCCAATTAACAGAATAAACGACGTGGGTGGGATCCCTTCCCACAGAGTCTGCGTGCAGTCTCGGCGCTGCGCGGTGCGTGCGCCCCAGCGGGGCCGCAACCCGGCCGCCCCACTCCCGCACGGCGGGCGCACACCGCACACAATATAGCATGGTTCACGTATGGGGGAGCAGGTAGAGATGCGTACGAGGAGGGAGGAGGGCGGGAAGAGGCAGCCAGCGAGGAGGGAGGAAGGCGGGAAGAGGGCAGCTAGCCACCAGCGCTCTGTGCGGACGCAGACTCCTCGGGCGCACCGCCGCCCGCCGGCGTGGCCGCCACCAGGCGTTTGGCGGCGCGCCTACTGGCCCTTCTTGGGGTCCTCCTTCTTGGCGGTGAGCAACTGCTCGAAGTACTTCCACAGGACGCTGAAGAGCATCGCCGAGACGCCGTTCGTGAGGAGCCTAGGGCGTGAAGACGCCAGCCTCGGGGCGGGAGGACGGCCTCGTGCAGCGTACTCAGAGCTCCGCGTGAACACGAGGGGAGCGAGGACAGCGAATACGACATGAGGGCGGACGACAGTTGAGCGCGTGTCCTCTCGAGTGCTGGTTGGGAGACATGAATACGTCTCCCGCTTCTAGGGCGAGAGGAGCTTGGTGCCGAGGCCGCGCAGGAAGAGGCCCTGCACACCGTCCTCGGCGATGATGGCGGAGATGGTGGCCATGTACGTAAGCGCCTGCCCACGCCGAGCCCGCGGGGTGTGAGCCGACAGGGCGCCGTGTGTGGACGGGCAGAGGTAGGGTCAGGTAGCTGTCACGCAGACAACGGTGGCGGGGCAAGGGCCAAGCAAGCCCGTGGCGTCCCGAGGGGATTGGGGAGGCGTCTGCGGAGGTTGAGTGGGGCGGCGGGGGTGGCTGGTCTGACGTGGCTGGCGCCTCGACGGCCGTTCTCCTTCTCTTCTCTTCTCTTCTCTTCTGGCGCCTCGACGGCCGTCTGCTTCTTGGTCTTGACGACGCGGATCGAGTTGGAGACGACGTCGGATCACCGCCTGGAAGAG